CAATAATTGTATATTGAATAGATGAATGAAAGTAATTGTTTTTAGAACAGCTTCTGAATCTTGAATGCCCCTTAATGTTTTAATTTTACATTTCTCATTGACTTGTAGCAGTACTGTAATGGTAAATGAGATAATTTCTCTATAGTGTGTAAGATCTTTGGAGAAATGCTTCATTAGACTAAGACTCATATGCAGCTATCAAAACTGTGAGCTAAAATGTACCATTTTTATTCAGTTTCACCTATCAAGCTAGTTGCCTGGGAAAACTTTCCTCCATGGTGAATTTGTGCCAACTGGCAAAAATGTACACAGTTTTATACAATGTCTGACCAATAGAAAGAACATAATAAAGTTTTGCATAAAGAGAGAATGAGTAGTTCATTAATAATAAGAGCTATGCTTTATTGGCCACTATACTTCTAACAGCATGCCTTTTCAGAAAAGTAAAACAAACCAACCCCAGCCATACTGAATCTTGTATGTAAATTCATTAGTTTTTGTTGCTGATGAGGTAGAAAACGTTTCTCTTCAATTCTCGTCATTGGTGTATTAGTCAGCTTTTGCTGCAGTAACATCAACCTCCCTTCCTCCAATCTCAATGGTTTACAGAAACAATGATTTCTTAGTCCCATTATGTTAGGGTTGTGGGCTTACTGTGGCTCTGCTTGGAATGGCTGGTCTTACTGAACTCAGGTTGTACTTGCTAGACAGGTCTTTGAATTCTTGGACAAAAGTCAACAAAGCAGCCACTCCCTGAGATATGTTCTTCTTATGGCTGGGTGTCAGAGCTCAAGGGGGCGAGAAAACAAAGGTAAACTATGTAAGTCCCTTAAAATTCTGCTCTGATAGGACCTCTCTCATGTCCACATGAATTCCATTGGCCAAAGGAAGTCACACTACCAAGCTCAGAGTCACTGTACAATCTGCCTATAGGGACTGTTGCCAGGGTGGAACAAAAAATTGTGAGCCAATAATACAATCCATCACAATCTGAGTCCAATGTTTGTCAAAGCCACTATTTGGTCTTTTGTAATACTAATTACTCTTCAGAGCTTTAAATTTGGAGTTCAATTTATGTAGCTTAAATAACAAAAGTGCTTTTAAGGTCTTTAAAATGTTCTATGTAAATAGGCCCCAGAGGTAAAAGTAAACAGATATGGGAATTTTAGCTAAAGAAAAAATTTAAATTTATAACTATATAAATGTTTTCATGAGGGGCATGATGATAAGTTATTCTTTATATCTGTGGGTGTTCAAGCCAGCAGAAAAGGATTTAATTAAAGTGGGGATATTGGGGTATAGTTTCCATAAGGAACGGTTTCTTGCCTAGTCAAGTGAAAAAGACATGAGAAGGGCAAAAGTTCTCCTTAGTGGATAATTGAATCATTCATCTGCTTGAAGGAGGAAGGCTGGGCCAGATGACAGGTTCCTGCCAATTCTCTGTTTATAGTACTTTGAATTTTGAAATAAGGAAGTCCTTTTAAGACAGATGGCATTAAAATTCTTCTTACATCAGTGAAATGTCACCAAGAAACTTAGAAGCTGGCTTAATGCAGAAAATGAAAATAGTAAGAGAAACAGATATGAGAGGAAAATGTAACTCTGAGCATTTATTGTTTATTTTATTGTTTATTTTTGAAAGAATAAAACATCACAGTTAATTACAATTTTAATATAGTCATTTGTTTTAGTCTTTCAACAAACATTTAATCAGTATCTACTATACGTCAGGCATTGTGATAGGTGCTGGTTGGCTAAGAAATCCAACAATTTATACTCAAAGGTCTGATAAATTAACCATCATTCTTTCTCAGAATTTTAGCTTACCATTTAAAAAAGAGAATAGGATTTTTAAACTACACTTTATCATCTACACTTATGAAGATCTAAATGCTAAAAAAACTTAGTCTTTCAGGTAACCATATAAATATTTTTTTCTTCATGCATTTATTTCCTTTTTTAAATATTAGGTTGGCCAAAAAGTCCATTATGTTTTTTTCCATAAACTAAAAGACACATTCTTTTTTCATTTTCACCAATAAGTTTATTGATCAGGAAGAATATTTTGAGCATGTTGCCTATCTCCCGCTGTTGGCTTCTTGTAGGTAGAGGCCAGGGGTGCTGCTAAACATCTTCCAATGCATAAAACAGCCCCACAGCAAATGATTATTTGGCCAAAATGTCAATAGTACCAAAAATCTTCACAAACTTCTTTTGACATGTTTGATTCAGTCAACAGCAACTTCTCCATACACTGCAAATATTTTTTTGTGTGTTTCAGTTGCATTTTTACCTTTGTTGAAATAATAAAGCATAATATGGCAAAAATGTTATTTTCTTCTATCTTCAATATTAAAATGGCTACACAAAATAGTCACCAATTTTGGTAGGTTTTTTCCAATGCTTGCTGATATGACAACTATCACAATACAATCTAATAAAATTGTTCCAAACGAAGTTAAAAACAACTAAGCACTCACTACTAGAGCCATTGTAGGGAAAAGATTAAGGGACTTTTTGGCCAACCAGGTAAATATCCACTGTAGGTTCTCCTCCCCAACTTTACTGAGGTTTAATTGACAAATAAAATTGTAAGATATTTAAAGTATACAACATGGTGATTTGATACACATATAGTGTGAAAGGATTCCCCCCATCCATCACCTCACTTATTTACCTTTTTGGGGGTGAGAACATTTAAGTTCTACTCTTTTAGCAAATTTCAATTATATGATACAGTGTTATCAACTGTAGTCACCATGTTATACCTTAGAATCTAAGGCTTAGATCTTCAGACTTTATTCATCTTCAAATGGAAAGTTTGACCCTGGCTGGTGTGGTTCAGTGAGTTGGGCATCATCCTGCAAAGCGAAAGGTCGCTGGCTTCATTTCTGGTCAGGGCACAGGCCTGGGTTGCGGGTCGGGGTGTGGTGCCGAACATGTGAAAGGCCGTGTGAGAGGCAGCCGACTGATGTTTCCTCTCCGTTTTTCCTTCCTTTCCCTTTTGCTTTAAAAAGAAATAAATAAAATATTTAAAAAACCCTGAATGTCTGTACCTTTTTACCTACCTCTCCCTATTTGCCCACTTCCTCTCCATCAACCTCTTTTTTACTGATTTTATGTGTTCAGCTCTTTAAAAATGTTTTCGTTTTTGAGTCCACATCTAAGTGATACTATGCAGTATTTGTCTTTCTGTGTCTGGCTTATTTCACAGCATAAAGTCCTTCAGGTTCATCCAAGTTTTGAGGCTTTTCTAAACAGCTCTGAGGGGTTTTTAAATGACAACTGATCCTCTCTGACAGCAAATTATTATTTTATTTACTTTTTAGGTAATCTTGTAAGCAAAGCACTGAGTGGTTGTTGCATTGGTGAATCCCTTTTAAGAAATTATCTCTTTTCAAAAGTCAAACAGCACAGCCTTGTTATGAACAATACTTCATCAGTGCAGCCTGCCTAAGAAGCCCAGAAATCAAGTTTCCTTTTTTCATGAAAGGTCTCAGCTATGATTTAAAAAAAAATGACAGAAATATTTGTCACAGTAGTTGCTATGTGATATTACTGAGTCTTAGTATGTGTGCTAGCAATGGAATGTGTTTATTTGTTATAACCTATGATAAGCCTATCTCTACCATGAGCCAGCCAGATTGAAATACTTCAGAACCGCTGACTCATTTAATCCTCACAGTGGGAGGGTAGGAGATGTTTTGTAGCGCTGTTACCCCCATTTTGTAGACCAGAAAATGAGGCACAGAGACGCTAAGTGTTGGCACAGTAAATGACAGAGTTGGTTTTTGAACTCAGGCAGTCTAGCTCCATTTTGCGACTTTTACAAACCAAGTTCAATAACCTGAGATCTTAGTGAAACTAAAAACCGATGCCTGTTCCATGTGGTTCCATCCTACTTTCAGCTTTCAGTTGGATTTTCTGGCCCTTGTGGTTAGAATCATGAGTTTGGAATTGCTTGCCTTAATGCAGGTGGAGAACTCTTCGTAGGTCCTGTGGTTAATTGCAAAAATATACAGTGCACGCGCGCGCGCGCGCCCGCGCGCGTACACACACACACACACACACACACACACACACAGCGCAAAATTAACGATGACCGTTTATTAATCAGGAAAGCCTTGAGTCTGGCCTAAAATGACCAGTCGTTCTCCAAGAAGCGATATAAAAAATGCAGGGGGAGAAAAGGCTCTTCCTTATCCTGGGCCCAAGGACTTCACGCAGGCACCTGGGGGGCCGCTTTCTCTTAGTAGAAGCCCTGGGAGCGGGCGCGGTACCGCCCGCGGCGCCGCGGGGACAGGAGTCGGGCTCCTCGCGGGTCTCCCGGCTCCCGGGCCTGAGCACTAGCTGCGCGCCGCCGGGACCGCCTCCGTCCGGGACCGGGAGACGGGAGGGCGTTAGGAAGCCTCTGCCCGCGGTCCCTGGGCTAGAGGAGGAGTGCAGGAGCACCCCCGCGCCCTTTGGGTACCGGAGACATCAGCCTGGGAGTGGGGGGTGACCCAGCCGGGGCAGAAAAGATGAGGAAGAACAGGGAACGGGCGGGTTGGAGGCCCCCCATTCCTCTAACCGCCCCCGCCCACCTGGCCGCCCCCGGCTGCGGCACCAGGCGCGCTCCCAAGTCTCGCAGTCGCAGCCCGCAGTGTCTGCGGACTCTCCGGGGCTCTGCTCTACTCCTCCCTGGATTCGCCCTCCCTACTCAGTGCCCGACGTGCTCGTTCCCTGCCACTTGGGTTGGGGCGCGCCGATGGGTTTGGCCTGCGCGGCGGCGGCTGCGGCGAGGCGGGGGAGCTAGTGAGAGCGAGGGGCGGGCACGAGTGTATGTGTGAGTCACCGGTACCTGGAGCGAGAGCGACGCAGAGCAAGCGGCGCGCAGCCCGAGCCGGAGCCGAGCCGGAGCCGAGCCGGAGCCGGAGAGCGCGGCCGCCCCCAGGCGCCAGGCCCCGCCGCGCGCCCACCCGCTCCCGCGCCGTCCTCCGTGTCCCCCGCGCTGCCGGCTCGCCCCTGGCCCGGCGCCTACTCCAGACCCCGGCGACTGCCGCCTGCCGTCCTCCTGCTGGCCCCGAGGCGGTGCGGGGCTCGCCGGGGGATGTCACAGCGGCTCCTCGGAGCCCCCAGCCGTTGCTGCCGCGCCGCCGCCCCCGGGAACCGCGACAATGAACCCCCAGTGCGCCCGCTGCGGAAAAGTCGTGTATCCCACAGAGAAAGTCAACTGCCTGGATAAGGTGAGCGAGGGGCGCCTGGCCGGCCCGGACCTGCCGGCACTGGGCTGCACCTGTTCAGAGAAGTTTTGGCATCTGGGACCGAAAGAGATGAGTGGGTCTGGGTGTTTGTGTGGTCTTGGCCCCAGTGTGGCCACGCGAAGGAAAACGCCCGCGGGAGTGTCAGAGAGCACGCTTGGCGATGGTGTTGTTGGAACCGGGATAGGCTTTTGTCGGGGTGCGGGCGGCATGGGGTGCGGGGCTGCGCCGGCCTCGGGAGAGCTGCTGCGGAGCGCGCACCGCGGAGCGCGGCCCGGGGCGCTGGAGCCTAGTCGGGCGCCCAGGGGCCGATCGGCGAGCCGCGTACCCCCCATTCCCCCGTCACTCCTGTTTCTGACTTCCCCGGGCCCGCCGTCCGGCGGACCCGCCGCCACCCGGACTTCTCCCCCGCCCAGCGCCTCTCCTGCCGGCTGCGAGGTAGAGAGGCAAATGGTAATTAATATGTCAGGGTCGGCCGCTGCCGCAGTGCTAAGACTAATCCCCCTGGAGAGCCCCGGCTCCGCGCGGCGGGCAGGACTCACCGGGGCTAATCCCCCTTTTGGGGAATTCCAGAGGAAGTGGCCTCAGCGGGCGCCCACAGCCCTGCTCCAGGCCCTCTCCGGGCTTGGATGGAGTTGAACAGCCTGGGAGACAGACCCCGGCGCTCTCCCGGGTGCCTGGCAATTGAAACCAGCCGGAGGCGGTCCCTGTGAAATCTACTTGTGGTGTCAAAAATGCCTCCTGAGAGAACGCCCTCATCCTGACAGTCATTCCAGGCAGAGTCCACTTTTCCCGCAATGTAGTGGAAACTGGACGGAGATGCGGGAGGGTCAAGGCTGCCTCCTGCCTCCGAGGGTTGCCTGACTTCCTGTGGACCGTTATTTATCGAGATCCTACAAACACTGTGTTTAGGCACTTGGAACTGGAGTCGTTTTCCTTTTGAAGCCACTTCACAGGCTCCATTCATTTCTCCATTAACCAAGCTCAGAATTCCATTCTGGCTGCTCACATAAGTGCAATATGGACAGAGCCATGGCAGCTCTTCCATCTGAGTACGGACACAGTGGTGGGGATTCATTTAGAACTCAATTTTAATAGCTGGCTGCTTTATTTACTTAAATGAAAGTAGACAAATCCATTGTTAACTGCCATCGTTTTGTTGTAGTATTTTCAAGTACAGGTGGGGACTGTAATGCGCTAAAGAAGTCTCCTTTCTGTACCTATCCTGGAATGAACTGGCATTGTACTAAAATTACAAATAATTTTTTTTCCAGTATTGGCATAAAGGATGTTTCCATTGTGAAGTCTGCAAGATGGCTCTCAACATGAACAACTACAAAGGCTATGAAAAGAAGCCCTATTGTAATGCGTAAGTATTGTCAAAATGGTATGCCGGGTGTGGCACAACATCAGTGAATGAAAGTGAGCGGATCTGCTTGTTCTGAAGAATCGACTCACTGTGTCACCCAGGTGTGGCAGCAGCCAATTACCTACTTATGCCACATACTCTAGGTCCATGTACTCGGTTGAAGGTCATTGCATTTGTCTTTCTAATGTGTAGGATAGTTTGTGTCTTCAACCAGAAGGTTAATTTTTGAGGTTCAAGTGTTGCAGAGTTGGGGACATTTGTTAGAAGCTGCAGAAGGTGCACTCTGCAAATGTGTGGGCTTTGAGGTACATGTCAGGTAGATTTCTATTTTAATCACATGTCAATTTCCATTTTTAATCATATGATGTTGCCATACAGCAACTTTATATCTGAACTTAGCTGGTACAGAAAGGAGTCTCGCTCACTTGGTCTTAGCTGAGACCACTCTATAGATCCTGGAACTAAAACAGGGAACCAAAGAATTGAGACATGGGTATTTCCTGCTGGTGGGGATTAAAGAAGGTAAGCTTTCTTTGCAGGCTTTTCTGTAGGTATACGTTTAGCATACAACAGTAGCAATTAGCTAGCATTTATACAGTGCTTACCATGTGCTAGGCCCTGTTTTAAGCTCTTTATACATACTGACTCATTTAATCTTTACAGACCCTTTGACTATTATTATCCCCATTTGCAGATAGAGATATTGAAGCACGGGAGAGGATAAGCCCTAGAAAGTGGCTCAGATCACTTCTAGAGGCTGCAAATGGTTAAAGATTGGCCAGTGCTTCCACACAGCTATCCTGCTGCCCTCAGGCATGTGTTTCTTCACTCCTGTGAGCATCTACCCATCCAGACTGTTTTCAGCTGTGGGCCCTTAGCTCTGATTGATCAACCTTTGTCCCAGTTCCCCGTGGGGCCTATGGGCCAGGAGGAGGCAGAGGAGCCGCCTAGCCTTTCGGCTGGAATATCGTTGTCAGCGATTCATTCTCCCTAGAGTTTTTGAAGCAGGTTCATTCAGGTCTCCTGGAGAGGGAGGGCCCGTGGTTAATTCATGCTTTGCATGGGAGTATGTTATAACAGACAGTAAATTTTTGTTAAATAAATGTAATGTGCTGATACCTCTCTGGTGAGGAACTTAAAAAAATCTCTTTGTATTTCCTTCCAGTCCTACCTTAGTGCTTACATATAGACCAGAAACTTTGAAAACATCAGAAAATTGGGACATTGAACAGAATTTAGGACTTTCTTGCATAAGTGAAGTCTACAGATATTCCCCAAACTTATTGATATTTTCAACTGTCCTATATCCATGCCTCTGGCTGGGATAATGTGAGCAAAGTGAGATTTCAGTGTCATGGTCTCCTGCTTCTCCTAAAGAGAGGTATAAGTGATTGGTTAAAGATCAAAGGCAGGCAGCAGTAACTAGAAGGGAAAGGGCCCCCAACAACCCATAAACAGGATAATGGTTCTTCGATTAAAGGAAAAGTGAACCATTCTTCCTGTATGTGTTCCAGCTCCTGGCCTGATTTGATCAGGCTTTATGGGCCATGCCAGGGTTCTTTATAGCTCCACAGCCTGGAATTTAACCTGGCGATAACAGTGCCTGAGTGGCCTGGGTAGGCCTGGAGAAATGGGAAGGGAAGAGGAAGGACAGGAGAGAAAGAAAAGGAGAGAACAATAATATAATATAATATAATATAATATAATATAATATAATATAATATAATATAATATATAAATAATATAAATATATTGAATGAGAAAAGAAAAGTAAAAAGAGGTACAACTGACATGGAGCCTTTGATTACATTGGGCCTCTTGAAAATTCTGTGCTTACTGCTTAGTTTCAGTTTGGTCCAATTAAAAAGAATATCAGATTCTTCAGCAAGTCATGGATGGCTGGTTTGCATTCTGACTTAATAGTGAACTAATGTGCAGAACCTTTGAGATTTGGACCGCCAAAAAAAACCCCACCTTTTTTCGTAGATAGGAAACATCCAGCTGTACTGTTTTAGAGATCTGAGTCTTATTTTTAATACTTCAGTTATCTGTAAATCAAACGCTTACTGATTTACTCTCTAAAATTTCTCATATAATTTCAGAACTTTGTTACTTGGTTTTGTTTGAATTTTTGGGTAGTATCTCAGATTTTTTACTTAATATTGAACCTAGTCATCTACTTTAGTGAGCAAAGAGACAGGGAAGACTGGAATTTATTGTTAGTGGCGGAATGAGTAGAGTTGATGGTTTAAATTTGTTTAATTTAGCTTTAACTTCACATCCTTTGTTATCTCCAGAGAACAGAACCTGGCTAAGTTGTAGGCTCTGTCTGCTGTGAAGGTTCCTGGCTACAAGGCCCCTGTTCTCAACCCTTCATCTTTCCAAGGGCACAGGTTGCCATGCAAACTTGCTGGTCTGAGTGGATTACCCTGTGGGGATCCTGATGCCTCTGCTCTAATTCAGGCGGTGTGTGTGTCAGTCAGCTGTTCCCTGTGGCCAGAAGGGCTGCCATAATTTCTCTGGGTCAATGGTGGAAAATTGATTCTCTGAAACATACTGCTCCTGAAAAATGGAACGTTCTATGGCCATGTAAAGCAGTATTTTATCTGCACCTAGTTTGGTTCAGGTATCAACATACGTACAATATACATACATGCTTAAGTGAAAATGGCTATTCTTTTCCCCCCTGCAACTTTATATTGTAAAAATTTTCACGTACACAAAACGGTTGAAAGAATAATACAATGACCATTGGTATACTCTTCTTTGAGATTGAACTCTTATGAACATTTTGCCATATTTGCTTCATATTTTTATCTATTTATATATACACAAGTACCTTTATTATTGTTGACTTATTTGTCAGTTTCATGCAAGGGAGTTTCATACATCAAGATTTTTCATCTGTAAAAATTTCATCATGCAGGCACTAAGAATGACGATATTTTCTTAAAGAACCACAGAGCCATTATGATACCTGAGAAAATTAACAAAAATTTCATAATATCTAACATTCTGTTTATATTAACATTTCTCCAGTTGTTTTAAGAATATCTTTTTATAGTTGTTTTTCTCAAATCAGAATCCAGTCAAGGTTCATACTTTACATGTAGTTGTTATGAAAATGACAACTTTTCTTGGTTATTGGATATTGAGTATTATTTCTCTAATTTCTGCTGTCATTTCTGTTGATTTATATAACCTCTCAGAGTTTTAAGGAAGAGGACTTATGTAGCATTTCTTGTGAAAATAACACAAGATAAATATATATTGTGAAAATAACACAGTATAAGTATATATTGTGAATATATATTTCACTTAATAACCTTTAAAATAAATGTAAAGAATATGCTTAAAAATTTAAAAGCATAAACACTTAGGATTATGTTAAGAAAACATAAAAACTTTTATTTTAATTGATACCTGAGGGCATTTTTAGAATGGAATGAAGTAATAAATATTCTCTTCAGTTTAAATTTGTTGCTTGTTTATATTCTCATGTGTTTAGAGAAGAAACAAGTTTGCCGTTTGATTTTGTGCAAAGAGAGCATGTATAAAATATAATTTGCATAATATTTAAATTTTGATCTTTTGATAGAATGATCAAAGTCTAGTATACACTGGATGTAATATTGGACATAATAGACATTTAGTTCCCAGTGTAGCAAGTGCACCCTATTAAAATATTTAAAACAAACTAGTCTCCTTGAGTACGTGCCATGTTTTCATAAGTCTTTATGTTTCATAAGCAGGCAATGGATTCTTTAGCATACTCAGGATTTTTTTCATCACGGAACTTGCAAAGAAAAGAGGACTTGGCAATATTTTTATTGTTAAGAGGTGCTGAGAAAATAACACTAGATGATTAGACAGAAAACATAGCTCACATTTGTATGTGAATTTATATGCCAAGTTAAACTATAAACGTTTTGCTACCCAACAAGTCACACAATGAATTTAAATCCTAAGGCCATTTGTCAAATAAATTATTTAATTTATCATGTGTAAAAGTCAAAATTACATTTATTATGTGTTTATAAAAAATATATCAGTTCTTAAAATTTTCTGAGAAATACTACCGCGTAGAGAGAACAATGCCAGTGAGAGGACAGTTAATGTACTGTTACCAAAGGTCAAGTTATTCTAGGTCAGGAGTGGGACCAGTTAATGATGCAATTAGCAGAACTTTGCCAATAATTTCCCCAAATCATCACTTTTGCAGAAATCTTTGGGGAGCTGAAAATTTGTCCTGACCTGTCCACTTTAATATACTTGTATCGGTACAAATGTGTCTTTACTTATGGGGCTGAAAGAACACAAATATCTGTGCTAAATATGTGCAGTCCTTCCAAATAAGTTTTCTTCTCCCCAAGTAGTTTGACTTACTTTAATTTTGGAAGACTTTAAAAATAAAACAATGGGAGCTGTGCTTTGTGTTTACTTTTCCTCTGCTTGTGTCAGTGTACTATCATGTGAATATTTACTGACTGTCAATAGCTCGGAAGATGCTGAGCTAGACGCTGTCACTATGAGCCACCCAGAATGGTCAGTGTGGTTCGGCCAGCCTGTCTTGAGGGTGATTATCTAGGCCAACGCTCCACTAGCTCTCACATACCATCTCTCTGTTGGTCATTCCTTGTTAGTACTTTGCTATGGGTTACTAAGGAAATTAAACTTAAACCTGAGAGTTTTTCTATCATGTATTTCCCTTGTCTCTCTTTAGGCCTCCCAAACCTGGTTTTATAACACTCCAAGGACCTGAGTTATCTCAAGGGGACTTAGGAAGTTCTTGCTATTATGTGAGCTTTAATTACTTAAGAACTTCTCACGGAAGGCCCTGTGGTGTAATTGGAGTTTTGAAGCAATACAGAACTAGATTTGAATCCTGCCTCCATCATGTCCTATGAGCAAGTCTCTTGATCACTACGCTTCATTTGTAAAATGGGAATTGTAATGCTTAACCCAAAAGGCTGTGTGAGGCTTAGTGGGATGGTGTGTGT